TGTGTGTGTGTGTGTGTGTGTGTGTGTGTGTGTGTGTGTGTGTGTCCTGGTATTTCAACTCGCCAACCACATAAGCTTTGAAGCTGAAATTTTGCTGGTGTGTCTCCCAGCCAGGTGCCACCCTAGGACTGCGATATCAGCTCTCACGTCTGGGCCCCGCGTGCGAGCACGTGAAAGTTTTGGCGGGAGAATCGCCAACTTGGGAACGAGAGAAGCTAGAAAGCTAAAAACTTAGAAGAATGCACCTTACCCGTTTATGACAAAAAGATTTCAAATTCAGCTGCCCAGGAATGCCCGGGGCTTACGTACGGGCACGTAGAAATTATGGCGGGAAAATTCATAACTCGGGCGTGAAAAAGGCTGGAAAGTTGAGACTTTGGGAGGATGTTCCCTACTCACGTACGAACAAAATTTTTCAAACTCATTAGAACCGCCCGGGACTCACGTACAGGTACGTGAAAATCTTAGCGGAAAAGTTGCTAACTCGGGAACGAGAAAAGCTAGGAAGCTGAAAACTTAGGAGAATGTTCCCTACCCGTGTATGACAAAAAGATTTTCTATTCAGCTGTCTAGGACTGCCCGGGACTCAAGTACGAACCGTGGAAGTTTTGCTGGGGAAATCACTAAACCCGAGAACGAGAGAAGCTAGAAGGCTGAAACTTTAGGGTAATGTCCCCTACTCATGTACGGCCAAAATCAGATGTTTAGAAGCGTCCAAGGACCACGTACAGGCATGTGAAATTTTTGGCGGGAAAATCACTCATCCGGAAACGAGAAAATCTGGAGGGCTGAAACTTTAGGGAACTGCTTTCCCACTCATGCACGATCAAAAGATTTCAAATTCAGTTCCTTAGCACCGTCCGATACTCACGTACAGGTACGTGAAAATTTTGATGGGAAAACTGCCAACTCGGGAACAAGAAAAGCTGGAAGGCTTTAATTTTGAGGGAATGTTTCCTACTCATGTGCAACTAAAAGATCTCAAATTTTACTCTTCTAGTGCAGCCTTTTCCGTGGAACAGCAAATTTCCATTTGCCAGGTCACTGAAGTCGACATCTACAACTGTCATGCCACATAGCTGCACAATCAACTTCTCGAACTTCGAGGGCCAGTATGTCACAGGGCTAGCTACTGCGATTCCTTGCGATCTCGCTACGGCACGAAAAGTGCAAAAACGCACGATCGCACCGGCCTGCCTGGTGCGTTCCAACTTGGGTCAACTCAACAACCAGGAAAGCTGGGAGGCTGGAATTGTGGGTATATTCCCGTTCTGTGTCCCATCCCTCTAAAACCAACACTCACGGCGGCTAAATCTCACGTGCAGACGCCTAAAAAAAGCGTGTAGACTTTTTGGAGGGAAATGACTTCGAGAGCCAGTAAACTTAGGAGGCTGAGACTTTTCAGGAATATCTCCCTCTTGCAAAACTTACGGTAATCATGCGTATTGGGGATGCTCGGCCTCCTGATGCAACACTACCGCCCCGTCGGCTCGCTTTTCCTGTGCATGCGAGAAAGGCCAAAACATTGTTAGTATGAGTCCACGTGTTAAGCTGTAAAGCACCAATCACTCGTGCTGTTAACGATCTTGCTTCATTAAGTACAGAGCTAAAAAGCATGATCGCACCGGCGAGTCTAGTGCGCTGCTACCAAGTTTTTCTGCTGAAGTCATTTTTCATGTTTGTGGTATCTCTATGCGCCATCCAAATAGCCACAAAAAACTTTGCGATGCTTACACACACCAGCTTGCTAGCAATACTGTTTTTTAAGGAAAGTAAGGGAGGCGAAGAGCAGCGAGACAGGGAGGGCGAGAAAAAGCATAGCTTGTCGAGGGAAAACAGCTCGAATGGAAAATGGAATAAAAGAAAAAAGACAAAAAATTAACATAAAATTTGTACCTCGCGATACTGTAACCCAGAAATATTTCCTTTGTGAATCAGCGGCAACAACAATTAATTATGTATGCAATTTGCTTGTAAGCTGAACCTAAATGGAGCGAGGAAATGCTCCAAATGGGCTCACTGGCCGACTTTTTCAGCAAATATTTTAGTGCGAACATTTCGAACCGATCAGGAAGGACGCCCAACAAACAACGGAGCTGCGCCTCCCTCAGTAACAGCGGGATTATTGCTGCACACGACAAAGGCTGTCTCAGCGCCACCAAAAAATTTCGACAATATTTATTGCAGGCCGAGGCTGCTTCTCGGTCATCCGCAGTAAAACTGAAGCCACAGCCTCCACCACTTTTTTCATATCACTGTTATTGCGTACATGTACTTATTGCTGCTCTAGTTTACGAAAGCAGCTGAGGTCATTTAGAATAACAGTAAGAAACTTCAAAAGACAAAGTCGGAAAGATTTGTTTTCGCAGCAAAGCTGCCATCTACGCTTTCTACACCGAGGTATTTCTTTTCCGGGAGTCAATGCAGTCTGCAATGAAATAAATTCATTAGTTGGAGCCTCTCTTGGCCGTTAAATCAGCTTGTAAGAACAAGAGTTTTTTTCCAGTATTTATTAGAAATGCAGATTAAATAGTCTGCAATTAGTTTTTTATGCGTTTAGTGCTGTGTAACAGCAGTACAAAACACATATTGTCATGGGTTTGTCGTGTGTGTGTGTGTCCCACATTTCGTCCCGCACTTTCAACCCTGGAACCATAAAAGCTAGGCGGCTGAAATTTTGGTACAGTGTTCCCCGCCAGCGGGTGACGCGGCAAATTTAAATTCAACCGTCCCGTACCCGCCGGTCAATTCAGCCGTACGACTCCCAACCACGTAAGCCAGCCGCCGAGTCCTCGGTAACGCTACCCGGCGTTCGTTGGCAAAGTGCCAAGTGGCGCCAGTAGGTGATGC